GGGGTGGGTGGAGTTAGAAGGGGGCGGGGTTTGGTGGCAGCGTGGGTGGCGTTTTGGTGGAGGAGGGTGAGTTGGGATGCTTTAGACAGGGCGAGAAGCGGCGCGGCGTGAGGATGGGGGCGTGGCTTGCGCGAAGGGAGCGTTGGCCAACCGCGCCAGGGAACTTGTGGCTGGGAGCCATTGCGCATGCTTAGTTGTTTTGTCGTTTTGTGTGTTGTTGTGTTGTTTTTCATTTTGATTCAGTTTGTTTGTACCTAGTGGGTTGTATTATGGGCATGGAAATTTTGGTTAATTTCCGTTTGGTTTTTTTTTTAGTTTTGCTGCTCCGTTTAACGCCCAGAACAGATTTATAGATATAGATGGTCACTCGCTGGCCTGAGAGGTGTCTTATGTCCAGATTTGGTGTCAATTCGTCCAGTGGTTTTTGAGTTATGTTAACCCCACAAACGTACATTACATTTTCCTTTATATAGATGACAGGCTCTGCGTCTATCCCAACTGCCATTGCCCTAGCTGCAGAGGGAGAAGAAAAGACAGGCACAGTGCCAATATGCCGAGGTCCAAAAGCAGATGAAAGGCCTTCCTTCCATGCCAACTGCCACTGCCCTAAGCTTGGAGAGAGAGAATCGTAGAATCATAGAGTTGGAAGAGACCAACCCTCTTCTGCCATGCAGGAAAAGCACAATCAAAGAGTGTGAGAAGAAGCAAGCATAAGCCTAGTTCTAGAAGCAGAGGAAAGGCCTCCCTCTATTCCAACTGCCACTGCCTTGACCTTGGAAAGAGCAGAGACAGACACAGCTTCTTGAGCCACGGGGAGAGGTGGGTAAGAATTATTATTATTATCATGTCTAATTTTCAGAAGCAGGTTGAAGACCCTTTTTTCATCCCAACTGCCACTGCCCTAACCTTGGAAAGAAAAGAGAAGAGAAAGACCCAACTTCTCAAGCCACAGGGAGAGGCAGGTAAGAAATAAAATTGTTGTTGTTGTACTTGGAGGAATGAGGCCGACCACGTCCATCCTAGACCCATGCCCATCCTGGCTTCTAAAGGAGGCCAGAGGGGGATTGGCTGAGTGGGTGGAGGTGGTGGTTAATGCCTCCCTTCGGGAAGGCAAAATTCCAGCGAGCTTAAAACAAGCTATAATAAAACCGCTGTTGAAGAAACCATCACTAGATCCCACTAAATTTGACAACTTTCGGCCGGTTTCCAATCTCCCCTTTTTGGGCAAAGTCCTGGAACGCGTGGTGGCCTCACAACTCCAGGTATTCTTGGGAGACACGGATTATCTGGACTCGGCACAGTCTGGTTTCAGACTGGGACATGGAACTGAGACAGTCTTGGTCGCCTTAGTGGATGATCTGCGCCGGGAGCTGGACAGGGGGAGTGTGTCCCTGTTGGTGCTTCTGGACCTCTCAGCGGCCTTCGATACCGTCGACCACGGTATCCTTCTGGGGCGTCTTGCGGAAATGGGCCTCGGGGGCACTGTTCTGCAATGGCTCCAGTCATTTCTGGAGGGCCGCACCCAGAAGGTGTTATTGGGAGACACCTGTTCATCCCCACAACCATTGTCTTGTGGGGTTCCTCAGGGCTCAA